TTAAAAAAAAAGTAAATAAAATAACAAACTTTTTAAATTGCATTAATTGTAATTGTACACATAAATATTAAGTCTTTTTTCCAAAAAATGCACCAAATAAATGCATTTCTACTTGTTTAATGCTTTCATTAAGAGACTTACAGTTCAATAACATAATTTTTCTATTTCGAAATTTAGCAGTTTTGACCTGAATTATAATAACCTGATGGAGTTCGATGGAAAGCCTTATATCTTAATACAAAAGAAAATCAAAATAATACGAATAATATTTAATAAAACAAATTGGCAATTTTAAATATGTATATAGCGTGATTAAACTACATTTTTCATTGGTTGCATGTTTGCCACAATATTCCTTCTTATTATATTCTGACAGGTTTAATAAAGGATTGTAATAACATCTCCTTAATAAAGACAATGAAGTAGTACTTTATGGTTGTATTGTACCACTTTTATACACACAAGGTGCTACAAAAAAAAATTAAGAAATGAAATAAATAATGAGAAAACTGAGGTGCTGTGTTTTTGGAATTTGAAAAAAATTTCACAGAAACAGGCTCCAGTCCAGTTAAGTTTAGGATTCCGTACCTCCAAAAAACGTCATCTTTTTTTTGAGATAATTCACGTACTCATAAGTCCATCTGTCATCTTGGAAAGTATGGAATACAAATTTTAAATTTGATATAATAATGAAACACAAAATGATGTTTGTATTGTAAGAAAAAACAACGGCATATTTTTGTCCCAATATATATGGGAAGATTGATTTACATACATTGCGATGTCCCAAATACTTAAAAAGCAGAATTTACGTATTTACGTCAAAATAAAGAAAACCCTCCCCTTCTCTTCACTGTTTTTTCCATCCCCATTTACCTGACTTCCTATATGTACAAACAAGGACATAAAGTACCTTTTTATCAAAATAAGGTCGTCAGTCATAAGAATGGTTGGACACGCATCTCCACTCCTTCCTATCCTGAGCTAATCCACGCATTTCCCTAAAATTAGAACATCCCACATCCTTAACTATTTGTGAACTGTAATCTAATCTAGGTCTACCTCTGCCCCTCCTAACTCCTGTTTCTGCCTCTAATATGTCTCTGACTAGACCTTAATGTCTGAGAAGGTATACCACTAAACTATCTCGCCGATTTCTTATTGACTTCCATGGAGTCCTCTGTTCTTTTCCGTCGCGCCCACCGTCCATGTTTCGCACCCGTACAGTGCCTCGCTCAAAACATACACCTTTAACGATCCTTTTTGAATCTCTCAATTTAGCGTTCGCGAACATAGAAGTGACTTGTTTTTATTGAAGGCGACTCGACCCTGCGCTATTTTCTGCTTTATATCCCTACTACTCTTTCCGTCCTGACTTATCTGACTTCCTAGATACTATACGTAAAATCGGCCACTTCTTCTAATCTTTCGTCTCTCTCTATATTCGTTCTTTCCTTACTTTTTCTTCCCTTGAGTGGTATGCTTAACATTCGCCGGTAACATCACATTTCGGAAGCTTCTAACCTTTTCTTTTCCGCCGCGCCCACCGTTCATGTTTCGCACCCGTACAGCACCGAGCTCCAAACATACACTTTTAACAATCTTTTTCGAATTTCTAAATTAACCGTTCGCGAGCACTGAAGTGGCTTCTTTTTATTGAAGGCGACTCGACCCTGCGCTATCCTCTGCTTTATATTCCTACTACTCCTTCCGTCTTGACTTCCTACATATCTAAAATCAGCCACTTCTTCTAATTTTTCGTCTCCTCTCTTTATATTTGCTCATTCCCTACTTTCTCTTCTCTTACATACCGGTATTTTTATTTTACTTTTATTATTTTCATACAATACTGTTTTGTCAATACCGATTCTATTTTATTGAAAGCTATTTCTAACTCCTCCTATATATCTATCCCTACAGTTGTATTGTCTTTAATGATATTGATCGAGTCTTCGATGTATAGATTAAAATGTAGCGGTGACAATGTGCATCCTTCCTAATACTTACTTTTCTATGTTGCTGCTGCATTTCTATAACTGCCTGTTGATCTTTATACAAACTAACAAGTATCACTCTTCTATTTATGCATCCGGGAAAGAAATACTGTTCCCGAGGGACAGAAAAACGAGTTGTATGTGGTCGTCGATGATTTTTGAGATTTATTTAGGACATCCAAGCGAGCGAAGCCGCGGATAAAACCTAATTTGTAAGCATACCCCTTTCATCCTTTCGTCCCAGTATACTAAAGTGTCCTGTATTTAAAAATATTAATTGCGTCTTCGATAGCTCAATTCAATTTTACACTTTTGTACATTATTTATGATTTTGAACAATTGCGCCTGATAATCACTACATAGTATAAAACAAAGTCGCTTTCCCGCTGTCTGTCCCTACGTATGCTTAAATCTTTAAAACTACGCAACGGATTTTGATGCGTTTTTTTTTAATAGATAGAGTGATTCAAGAGGAAGGTTTATATGTATAATACATGCATAATATAGTAGAGAAACACTGATAATTTTAGAGGTTTCTAATGTGATGTCGTAAATAAACACATTTTTTGCGCTTACATTGCAAACGCTGGCTGAACCCTACGAGATAGATCAAAATAATGTACTACAATATTGTACATCTTAAAANGATTGAAGAAATATTATTGTTCAATACTTTCAAGATGACTGTATTGTAGATGTATGGAAAAGTAAAAAGAAGATGTAGTTGTTATAAAGTTTATTATATATAAGTTACACATATATTATAAAAAAAGTAAACTTTGAATTATAAATACTACATTAATTAAACTAACTTATATTATTAAATACTACATTAATTAAACTAACTTATGTTATTAAATAATGTGTACATGTTTAATTAGTAAAATGCCGTACACGACATAGTGTATTGTCCCGCTCCCAGCTGCTTGGACGTCATGGAGGTATTGTTCTATCTCCTGACAGAACAGAACGGGTCTTTTCGTAGTGGAAACAGCCCATGTTGTTACCGCTTCATTGGAATCGGTCCAAGCATCACTGTGGACGATGGTAAAGGGTGCCTTGGTAGTTTGCAGTGCTGAACCTTTAAAAAGTATATAGTAATACATGGTGATATGTTGAAGAGCAGAAGTCTTCTGCTAAAGGAATAAAAAAAAACTAAAAAACTTTTGGGTGTTTCATTCCCACTAGTCAGTACTGCTGGTGGGCGGGCAGTCCCTCCGGACTACGCCGGAAGGTAGGGCGGAAGGCCCTCTTTAGCCTGCTTTCAGGAATCGTGGGAATGGGTGGGTAGTGGTTCAGGTGAGAAAGATGAGGCGGACGAAATGAAGACAGAAGAGAATGAAAGATTATNTGATGAATAAATT